CCATACCTCCCACTTTGGTATCATATGCAAAATTATAGAAGGTCCTCTGTCTAATCATCTAAATTGTTAATGAATTAAACCCAAGGGTATGCTCCTAGTTACCTTCTAACTGCTTACCAGACTTTGCACCACTGTTCAACATCCTCTTAGCCTGGATGTTCTGCCTGTTTTCAGTCCACCTCCCTGTCTGCTCAACAAGCCCACATATAAAGAGATTTTCAATGATGGCATTGTGGGAGACAGCATCAGAAATCATACTGAAGTCCAGACAGACTGTAACTGGTGTTCTTCTTCTGTCTTTCTCTTAGAAACTTATCACAGGAAGTTATCAGGTTTGTCATGCATAACTCTGTTCCCCTTAGAGAATCTATGCTGACTACTCCTGATCACCTTATTGACTTTAACATGTCTGAAAATAGCTTCCAGGATTTGTGTTCCATCATACTCCCAGGTATCAAGGTGAGTCTGGTGAGTCTGCAGTTACCTGGCTCCTTCTTGAAAACAAGAGCGACAGAAGCCTTATTCCTTTCCTCAAGTACTTCCCCAGTTATCATGATCCTTCAGATAATTGGGAGTAGCCTCACAGTGACATTAGCCAGGTCTCTCAGCACTGAGGGGTATCTTAGTTCGCTCTTCTCTGACTTGATCCTCGCTCTTCTGCCAAGGACACACACCTCCCTATACCTCAACCTTTTCCATGTCATATGTCACCAGGGTTTCTACCTCATTCAGCAGAAGGCTCAAAATTTTCCTGTTCTTTTTTTGCCACCAATATAGAAGCCTGTGACTTCTGGCTTTACAAAATTCAACCCTAGGCAGCCTTTCCACTGTCTGTATACCGCTTTATTTTGTTTGTGTTTTGCCAGGAGCTCTTCGTTCACCCATGTAGGACTGTAGGCTTTTTTGCCTGACATTCTACTCATTGCAATGGACCTCTCTTACGCTTTAAGGAGATGGTCCTTGAACAACACTCAGCTTTCCTGCAGGGCCTTATTGCATGGGGCTCATACAGGCAGAACCCTGAACATTCTAAAGTTTGATCTCCCAAAGTTCAGTGTTGTAAGCTTGCTTACTAAATACTTAATAATACTTAAACAAGTCTTAAACCATGCTCTCAGAGAAAGCAGGCACTAGTATCAGTAACTGAATAAGAACAAGATTGCATTGCTCTCTCCCAAGGAGCAGATAACTCAAAAGTGATACAAGCTAAACTGGGACAAGCAAACACGGTGAACTTCCTCACTAGAAATGTATTATCCACAGAATCTCAATCAAAGAACAAAGACTAAAGAAAACATTTCTCCAAAAATCACTAAATATCAAACAACTTTTAGAAATCACATGCTAAAGATAATGTAACAGAATACATCTTATTCTTCAATTACGGAGTTAATACAGAACAAGTTCATAATATTTGAAGAACATTTCTTTCTGTTATTATTCATGTTTGTCTGTTTCTCTATTGATATTAGAAGAAATCATGTTTACAAGCTAATTTAATGAAGCTGCATTTACGCCTTAAGTTTACCAGTGTTTGACAGATTTAAGATCTTTATTTCTGATCTCAGTAAATAATCATAGAAACTGCAAATGCAGGGCTATGGAATTTAAAAAAAAAAAAAAAAAAAAAAGCAACGCCAGAAAAATGCAGGCCATTAAAACCAACACAGACAAAAAAAACCAAAACATTGGTAATAAGGTATTTACATCATGGTCTGACACTGCTGAATGATTTGTCCATAGTTTAGCTGACTAGTTTTCCTTTAGGCATCTCTTCATCTTCTCCCACCAACTTCACTTCTGAAATACCATGTGTTAGATTACTACACCAGGATACATGTTAATACTGAATTCAGAGATCATTCCTTGTCCCTCAGTTATCTACACCTTTATTGATTTTACAATATATACATAATTTATGTTGATTGCTATATAGACATAAGATATCGATACTCTGTAGTCAAACTTGCTTCATTCTTTCCTTCCCAATTGTTCTATGAGTTGCTGGAATCTACAGCAGTTTTTAGAACTGTCACTATAAAAGACTGTAAGAGATAAAACACTGGAGAAGATCAAATGTCTTTCTTGACTTGCACCACTGCATTTGATGTCACAACCACAAATGGAGGTCTACAGATTACTAACAGTGTCAAAAATCTTCAGGAGTATACAAATTACCTTCTCCATTCCATTCTACACAGTGTCTAAGGAAGTCTTTATATGTTATCAATATATTAAAACTTGCTTGCAAGTTTTAATTGAGTTTTACTTAGTCTATAGGAACATTTGCTTCCTACATGTCCTGAATCACAGTAAGTATCAAAGCTTTTCTGTGAGTCACTTCCTTCAATAACAAAAGAAGTGACATCCACAGTCTCAGAGGGAAAAAAAATATATTTGTCCAAAAGGAGACAAAGGCACACAGCTCTCAAGCAAACAACAACAAAAAATTGCTTCACAAACAACACTCTCCTTGCTCGAAAGACATTCAGTTTGGAATGAAAGCAAAAGTTAGACACTAAAAATCAAAGTTATTTTGCCAGAGTAGTTGATTTTGCTCCATTTAGAATTTTCAGAATGCTCAATAGCTGAAAGTGAATCCAGCAAATCAAATCATTTTATCTACACATATTAATCTAATAATGAACCTAACTTATATTTCAGTTTACCAGCCAACATAGACATTAACGATTATTTGCATTTATAAATAATCATATGTAAATAAATTGTTCTCCTTACACAATGAAATTGAATCAGTTTTACTTCATTAATAAGGGTTTGAATCCTTACATTCTTGTTTGGTATAGCTACTTTAATCCTCATTAATCCCCCAACATTAAATGGGGTATATCATTCACATTACCTGACAGTCTTTTAATCGGTGAAAGCATTTACATAGCATTTGAAAGTCCATTATCTGAGCGATGAAACTTCTCTTAAGTAAGTTCAAAGGATGATATTTTATGTGCCTGTGTCATTCTAAGTGTTTCTAATGACAGATTTGAGACTAGAATATGAGTTCATTTAGAAATCTCTAATTTCACCAGTGTTACTGCAGTTCTGAAACACCTTTAGCACAAGTGAAAGAAATTTAGCCATTCAATGAGATGTCTAATTTCAAACTGTTTACCCAGTTACGCCAACTTACACTGAAGTTTTAAAGGGAATTAATTTCCTTCATCTTAGTTCTAGAAAGGATGACCTCAATAATTAAAAGCATAAATTTGGTCCAAGGCAAGAAGAAGCTAAAGGGATTTAGAAGTAGAGGCAAAACTCTAGGCCAAAACTTACTTCAGCTGCTTAAAGAGTAATTAAAGTGTAAATGCACAAACTATTAAAACACTATGAGAAATACAAATAATGACAATGACTCTTTCTTAGTAATAGATTTGCACAGATAGATGATCTTCTAACAACTTTCAGCAATGAAAGTATTATTTTCAATGCATTACTATAACATATATGTTGGTAACATATCGGAAGGATAACTTCTTTTCAGAAATTGGATTTATTCTGAATTAGCCTATTTGTGGCAAAATATGCCATGCACAACATCATACACAAACATCAGTATAGATCTAAGTGGTGAAATACTCTCTCCAAAAACAGGATATGTGGATAATATGGCTTATTAATTCAAAATAATATTCCTATAAGAGCATTAGCTGTCAAAGCAGGTGTTCTAATAATGACAGTCATCTATTTCCATGACACTAAAGTTTAAGTGTCAAATCCCTCCAATACACTTGACATTATGTGCCTTAGTGGTCTATTCCACTTTTACAAAAAAATATGGAAGAAGTCTTCTAGAGATTTCATTTATAGATCCCATAGGTGTGAAGTTATCCACTCCACTCCAGATCAAATAACTGAAATTGATGACTTCATGGCTCATGAACAGATTTAAACAGGAGAATTCAGAGGTGTGAACTGTTACTCCCTTCAATAGTTTCTTTCTATTCTAACTCATATCCCAGCAATGATGCCTTTCTCAGCTGTTTTCTTGCTAATCCATTCATTAAACTAGTGATGATAACACCCTGCAGAAGATGAAAAATTGTTCAGATGAAACCGAGACATACAGAGAAAAAACATTTGTAGAAGAAAGCAGTGATAGAATACCTCTGAAAAGAAATGAAAACAGTAATAGTCTTAGAATTAACAGTTTATTGGGAACTGCTGCTCAACTGCACATTAATAATGGCTCCAAAAAGTTAGACAAGAATTCACTAACTTTCAAAATATTTATGTATTTGTTTTATTTTATTTTACTGGAATCAGCTTTTACAACATTAGTGGCCATACTCCAACCTTTGACCTTGGTGAACTGCTCCCTCCTGCCAGCACTCAGATGACGATACAAAAAATCTGGACTGAAGGAAATACACAGCCCTCTGGTTCACAGCAGTAACTGTATCATGAACTGGAATTCATCTTCCTGCCAAAATAACTTGGCCATTCAGACTAAACCTGCTTTAGTTTTGGGAGAAGCCATTGGTTGGCAACTAAACACTAATAGGCTGCACGAGGCTGGGTTAAAATAAAGTGGAAAAGATTTACTATCACCTCCAGCAAAGAACAGCCTTGAACTGAGTCGTATCGTAGCTACAGGGAAGTTTCCTATAAATGTTTTGCAATTTCAACTGACGTCAACAATTAACAATTCAGATGAAAAACCATCTCTGCCAAAATTCAACGTGCTGTCCTCTCTATGGAACGTGTTTTAAGGCTCCCTCTTCTCTTACCTTACATTTCGTCCTAGCTGGAAGCCTCACAGCCTCCTCGGGCAGATAGCGGGCAGCAGGGAAAAAAAAAACAGTGGGACTCACGGAACTGCAAAACCCGGCAAGGCCACAAAGAGAAACAAAGCCTTTACAAGAAGGGCCTGGGGCTGACCCCAGCAGGCCCGCGGCCCTGAGCTTGCACGGCCCAAGAGCCAGGCGGTCAGCGGGACCTGCGCCGCTACGGCCCCGCTCACCTCGTCCCGCGCCCCGACTGACCTGTGCCGCGGGGCCCGGGCCGCACGGCCTACGCGGCTCTACCTCGCACCTCGCGCGGACGGAGGCCCCGCCGGGACCGCCACTCGGCTGCCTCCACGGACCCCGTCCTGCTAGCCCGCCCCACCTGGGTCACAGAGCCGGCACCCACAGCCTACAGAGGCGGCGACATAGGCGATGGATGCCACAGGTAAGCGCCTAGAGCGGTCGCACAGGAAGTACCTTCGGGCATAGAGATGACGCGTTAGAATGGCTACCAGGGTAGCAATCGCGGCGCGGGGGTAATTGACTGACAAGCCAGGGAGCAAATTAAGCGACAAAGGGTGAAGCTGAGGAGCCAATGGAAGAGGGCGGGAGGCGGGGCGTTGCGTGTGCCGAGCCCATAGAGTGTTTAAGTGGCGTTTCTGCTGTTATGGGGAAATGACTGTTTCGGGAGTCGAGTGCGTGGTTGTGAGCTCTCCCGCTGGGCCTCAGGGACAGTTCAGCGGGCTGGGCAAGGAAATACTGTGCTCGGAGAGCACCGGCTCCGGCCTTAGCTTGCTCTGGGTCCTCTATTTGGTGCCCTCGGAGCGGGGCCGCCTGGGGCTTACAGTAACCTGAGCTGCGGCTGTGCCCATGCAGGCTGAGGGGTGTATGTAGCGCTTACTGGCAGATCACAGGCTTGTGAGAGGAGAGGAATGCAGCAGACTGTAGTGAAAATGTGGTAACAGCCCGTAAGCACTACAGGCAGTAGTGCCTTTCTCCAGTGCTGTGTGGTGCTGGGTTGACAGATGGGATGCTGATAACAGTGACATGTAAAGGTCCTCTCTTACTGGCCACAGTGTGTTTGATCTGTCTGGAAAGGGCAGCTGGGGAGATACAGGTAGTAGCACCACAGGGGTGTTGGGGGAAAGGTGAAAAGAATAGGAACTGCTGAGTAATACTTGCCAGTGTTAAAGTAGATTGTGGTCTCTTGGCTTCTCAGCGATTAGCCTGCAAAGTTTATAAAAGGTATGGAAATAGTTCACTTACAGTTTCTGATTTTGTTTTGATATAAAAGATTTGAACATGATGCGCACTTGGCTGAGGAGAAGTCCATTAGATAGTTTGGTCTCTTGGGAAACCAGATAGCAAACTTTCAGTATCTAAAGGGGGGGAATGAGGAGGAAGGGGACAGACTATCAGGGTCTGTGGTGATAGGATATGAGGAAATGAATTCGAGCTAAAAGAGGGGAGATTTAGATTGAACATAAGACATTTTTTACAGTAAGTGTGGTTAGGCCCTGGAACAGCTTGTCCGAAGAGGTGGTTGATGAGACAACTCTGCACCTAGAGACATCCAGGTGAAGCTGGACCAGGCGCTGAGCATCCTGATCTAGCTATGGATGTCCCTGTTCATTGCAGGGAGTGGGACTAAAGGAGTCTTTTCCAACTCAAAAGATTCTATGATTTTGGTTTAGAAAGCCAATTTGAATTAGAAACATAGAACACTTGTTTCAGAGCATAAAGCGCTGTAGTGCTTTCAATGGGCAAATCACAGTAAAACAATAGATGACCTGCAGCTCAAGACTGAAGCATTGTACAGCATTCTTTTGTGGCTTTGTATTTATTGGCTTTCCCTTGGAGCTTCACTTTCTAGGTGAGAAATTGTTCCACTGACCATCTGTGTTTGCTATGTAAGGTCTTAGAGTGCAAGCTTGTAGTGCTGAGATAAACTAGTTGTCAGTGCTTGAAACAAAGATTCTGTGACAAGTGTAATCAGAGAGTAATGAATAAATTTCACTTGCAATGTAAGAGTATTGAATGTAGTTGTGAAAGACAAGTTTCAGAATATTTTGTCAGTATAGTAAACTCAACGAAGCTAGTTTTCCTCGCCCAAATTCTTGAATGCTAAACATATTTGAAGCTTGTCTTCATTTCCATGTCCATCTAACAATTGCATTCCCATCTGCCATTCCTTCTGCTCTGTTCATGTGGAGACATCATTTGACCTCATGCTTCTGAGAAATCTCTTTCTCCTCCAGGATTCAGCGGGTGAAGATAGCAAACTCATTTCTGATTGGACTGCTTTTGCAAATTAAATGGCTGGAAATTGGTACCTTTAGCTTTTTCAAATCTGGGAATGGTCGTGCTTGCCTAAAATATACTACAGTGTTGAATAAGAGGGGTTTCACATAGAATGAAATGGATAGCAAACTAAGATCACCTTTCTCTGAAAAACTTTAAAAACTCAGTCCACCCTGCAACGAGTGCTTGAATTGTTGTGGTTTGCAAGTGATTCAATAATCAAAATCTTATCTGTAGTGTCTTTGTGGCATACTTCACAGATTAGGAATTTAGTCAGTGTGATGTTCTTCCTGAAGCAGAAAACCACAAGTAAAGGACTAAAGTATGAAGAAAGAGAGGGAGCTGGAAGTAAAATGAAAAGTTAGAGCATACCTTTGTCCAAGGTTTTCATCGCGTCTAACCTTTTCTGTCGCTCCTATCCTTCTAATTCAAGAGATTATAGCAAAATGTTCTCTCACTATAGAAAAGCATTTTCAAATTTCCATGCTACTGCTTGAAACATGGTGATGCTTTTAAAGCAGACATTTTCCATGGCCTTAACTGCTCACAGGTCTGTCCTAAAACCAAAGTAGCCACTGTGCATACCTAGTAAGTACTGTTCATAAACATTTTTATAATGTTTGACCTTAAGAGTGACCTGAAGATTAATGGATGTGTTGTATCAGTTTTAATGGGGCTCTTCTCCCTTGGTTGCACACATGTGACTCCCATTAGCCTTAATGGGAGTTATATGTGTGCCTAGAGGTTAGATAAGACCTCTAAAGGTGCTGTTATGCTCTGTTGTATTAACGATCTCATAATTGCTGAGGTGCTGCACCTTTGCATTGAAAGCAAACTAATTAAATCAGTCTGGTATAAGTTGGTATACTAACATACTTGGCACGTATGTGATTTTTTTCTGAGACTCTCAGTACGTAGAGATATAGGCCAAATCAAATGTAGAATTTAAATTTTAATTGTGACCTGGACTTGTTTATAAATATTTCTTTTAAATCCAAATGGTTTTGTGAATTTTATATCTGAGAAAAATGACTGTTCATGCTAATACAGGGGAAGAAGACGAATGCAATGTTTTATCATTAATGTGAGTACTGAGGAAAAAGACTGATCTGATTATTTTTTTTTTGATGTTCCAAATCATGCACTTTGAAAAATGCATCTAGGTCTTGAGGATTAATATGATTTTTGATGTTGAATTTTAATTAGAGCACTGTTACTCATTTCTTCCAAGTGCCGTTAGACAAAGCACTTCACCTTTCTTTGATTTTCCCATATGTAAAATACCTGCTTGATTCATAGAGTTGCAGACATAAATTAATATCTGTTCTATGCTTTGAGTGTGTAAGATTTGTCCATCAAATTCCATTCTACTGGCATGATAATGGCAACTTGGGATGTGGAAGAAGCCGAAGTATCAAACCAATAGATTGCAAAAGTCCTAATAGGAATGTAGATCTGATGACAGAACTAATTCTGTTTTATAGTTTTATGATTCATGAATCACTATAATTGTATTGAAAAATCTTTGTTGTGTTGTTTTTTTGTTTTTTATTGGGGGGGGAGAGGAGGGGAAGGAGGTTGGTGGAAGAAGTGGTATGGTTGGAAAATCATTTGACATTTTTATCAATCAAAATAATTATTAGAATTTGACAGTTACTATTAAAGTTTGTGTGCTGTCTTCCATGACTATATACATAAGTGTGAAAATTAACCATGATGTAGTCTCCTTTGTATGTCTAAGCTGTGGAAAGAATTAATCTTAATAATTAATTTTCAGAGGAAAAGATTGTGGTAAGCTCCATATCTTAAATTTGTTTTCTGTTTTTCTTGTGTCAGATGAAAATATAATTCAATTTTGTGATTCACTTCTGCTATTTATGAGGTAACAGAAAGATCTCGCATTCATTCTAATTGATGTAGTTATTTTATTTTGCCTTTACAGAGTTCATATTCTGTATTAGGAAGCACCAAATTCTTGTTTTGACTGTGGTGCTGATGTCTTTTCTGTAACTTGACATGCCCAGAAAAATCATGTGAATGATTAGTGGTTTTTTAAATACACTACCTGACTTTTGACTCTAATGTATATAATATATGGCACAGTTTATCAAAATTTTCTTTATTATGTGAATTTAAAAAATAAAACAATATTTGCACTTAGTAATCTGGGGTTATTTCTCCATTACTCTTTTAAAGAAGAAATATGTTACATGTTATGTTAAATATATGTAGAATGTTGTTAAAGAAAATGGAAAATGAAAGCTGAACTTAGCTTATTTCAATTTTTGGAGAAAGAAGGAACGGGTCTACTTTATAACTCTTGCAAATGGCATACCTTCTAATTACAAAGATTGTAGGTGTTTCTGTATACTTGAGGCTCTTTGTCCTTCCTTGATGGCATACTGTGAACTTGACATAGGGATTGCATTCTGTGTATTTTTTCAGTGTCAAGCACTAGACCTCTCATGAAAGAAGCTTCTATTGGGGGGGGGGGGGGGAAGTGAATCCATTTTTGCTACTATTCATAGACCTGCTTTCTAAGGAGAATAATCAACATTTTCAAAATGATTTAGCTATTTTTTCCTTTGTCAAGAGTAATGTGACTTTTATTATTTTTGCTGGAATAATGACTGACTTGAAGTGAGTAGTTTACTATATTCCCCATAATTTAAAGATGATTGAATGCTAGAGCAGGTTGTCCAGACAGGTTGTTGAGTCTCCATTTCTGGAGATTTTCTGGGCTTGATTGTACGCAGTCCTGAGCAACCTGCTCTACTTTACTCCACACTAAGTAGGCAGTTGGGCAAGATGACCTCCAGAGGTCCTTTCCAACCTCAGCCATTCTGTGATTCTGTAGACTTCTGCACTGTATACCAGCTTTCAAATACCAATTAAAATATTAAAATTGGTAACTGAGATTAATTATGTCTATTTTATCCCTATCTTAAATTTAAAAGCAGTAGGTAGCATAACGTGGATAGCCATGTGATATGTCATCTAGCAAATTAACAGAATATGGACAGTGTGTGCTGTACTGAATACATTACAGTATTTTCAGAATGGAAAGATTATACAGAGAACTGACATTGAAGTTTTTAATGCAAGCTGCTTAATACTTTAGCCTCAGTTGACATACTATTAAACAAATAATGCAATAAATACTAATTCCAGTAATTACATTTCTTTAATATTATACTTGAGCTCTTGGTTGCCTTAAAATTCTTCTTGTACTCTATATTCATAGTTCTACCTGAATCAGAAATATTAGGTGATTTAGTGAGAGGTTAAACAAACTTGAATTTTAAAAGCAAGATACTGGAGTTCTTCTGAGTTGTGATTTGTTTTTGAAATCCACTGTAGTTCTATTTATAACTTTCAACTGATTCACTAAGGTTGTTTCTTTTTACACCAATTCTGTAAAAAGGTGGCTAAATTGTCAAATTAAAGGATAAGTCCGCATTTTAGCCTGTCTGTTTTATAGTTCTTTGCCTCTGTTAACAGTTTTAAGCTTCAGTGATCTGAGAACAGATGATATAGGCATGGGAACCCTTGACTTTTCACTGTAGGTGTTGCTGGAACAGTGCAAGTGGAAAACAGATCTGTGATACCATCTCAGTAGCAGTTCATCTGAACAAGTGGAGAAGAGATTGGCGATATCATTTCAGTAGCAATTTGTTTGAACTTGCCCCTGGAGCTCTTGAGGATTTTAAAACATTATTAGTCATTAGGTAGTGTTCCACAAAGTTGTTGTATATACCAAATATATTAAAAGGCACCAATTAGAACTGGGGAAAAGTGTGCTGCAGTGCATATGCTCAAATAATTGTGAGGATAATAATAAATCACTCTAGACTAATGATTCCTGTATGAACTGAATAACAAAATAATAACAATAAAGAAAGACATGAAAGCATGAAATGCTTTTGGTAAGCTGTACATTTTATTGCCTTTACTTTCACAGTTCAAACATGGAACAAAATAGATGGTTTCATTTGTTAGTGGTCATTGGAGAAATTGATTTGATGTGCTTTCTCTACCTGTGCTTATCCCAGAAACAAAAATTAGCTTATTAATACAAACATTTCGAACATCAAGCTATGCATGGGAATAAGCTAAAAAGGATATGAACCTGCCTTGATTTACTCTTTACTGTTCTTTTATAACACGATTCAAATTATTTTTGCCCTTTTCATTTGTGTTTGGTTTTGCAGTGCGACAGTGGAATCAAACTTGTGTTCTTTTATAAGTGAATAGTTTGTCCCACTCAGTTCTTCCCGCAGCTAATGTCACAGAAAAAAATGTTACAGGAATTCAGTGCTGTTTAACTCATTTTTCATAAATCACTGTTGCTCATAACTAGGATTAAGGGACTAGTATGGTTCTGGATGAGGATTTGTGATGGATAAACATGAATGCCGTTTTTCCTAGGGTAAATATTAATAATGACTTCATCAAACTGATATAGAATTTTCAAAGTTATGGTTAATTTCAAAATTAGAAGAGATTGTCAGCAAGGATGTTCTTTGCCCTGTAACAGAAGAAAAAAATTTATGTGATTATTCAAATGAATGTATATGCAAAATCAACTGAGTAATGCAGATACCTAAAAACAGGAGGAGAACTGGATTTTAGAGAGAATGTCTGTTGTATTCTGATATCAGCAGCAACTTAGATCACACTGGTATCACATCAGAATAATGTTTTACAGCCTATGCCAATTTAAAAATCAAATGGATGATAGATTTGTATAGAACAACACATTTGACTGACAGAAAAGGCTGTTATAGATGGATGTGATGTTCCATCCTTGTATAACAAGGGTTTTGACTGACAGTTTAACAATAGTACACTTTTTATCCCATATATTCTAAATTATTATTATTACAGTACAAAGCATTTTTGCACTTGCTGTATATAGATAACGTACACTTTTTGTGTAATAACATTCAAGAAGAGAGGGTTCTTTTATGTCTTAGAAATGATGACAATTAATGAAGGCTCTGTCTGACACTTATAACCAATGTCAAGGATTGCTATTGTGGTGCATGGTAATGTAAAAACTATTGGGTACTTAGCTCCCAGTGAAGGATCAACATAACTCCTGACACATGCTATATAGTGGATGAAATAAATCTCCTTGGAGAGCAATAGAAATATTTCTTAAACTGAAGAGTACCCTTTCTTTTTTATAATCCTTCTTTTCAGCTTTGCAGCTCTTTGCATCTCTGTA